CTGGAAGTGTTGAAGGCCAGGCTGGATGAGGCTTTGAGCAACCTGGTCTAGTGGAAGGTGTCCCTGCTGATGGCAGGGGGGTTGGGACTGGATGATCTTTAAGGTCCCTTCCAACCCAAACCAGTCTGGAATTCTATGAAAACAACCCAGCAAAGCTCCTGGTGGCATCACACCCATTATAAATAAATAAATAAAAAGTGAACCAAAACCAAATGCCGAACACGTGGCTCAGGTACCTGGTTTCAAAGGCCAGTGCTTACACCAGGAGACAGGTGATTTTTATGCTGTTTTGCTGCTCTTTGTCATAAGGAAATTGTTTTCTCCTCCAGTGAAACTCACGCCCGTTGGTTTTCCACCACGAGGGAGGTGATAGCGGGGATCCCAGGCGGAAGCGGTACCCGCTCTTCTACCTGAGTGGCTGCTAAAAATAGGACTGAACTCAGCCAGGCTGGGTATAAAACAGGCAACTCCCAGGAGAGCTGACAACCCTTAGTGCCTGTGACCCAGGAGCTTGTCTTGATATATGTCCAGAAGGGCAGAAATACTGATGGAAAGGTAAATATCAAAAGAGCAAAGAAAGAACAGTGTGGCCAATGTTCTGGATTAAATCGAAGTAGGATGGGGGTTGTTGCTTTGCTGTGATTAAATCTGGTTAAATGATTTCTTATTGGGTGGTCGAGTGGCTTTGGTGGTGGCTTGGATGAAGGAAATTTGCTTTCTTGAGCCAAAAAAAAAAGGCCACTTTGGGGTGGGTGGCTGTGCTTGTGTGTTGTGATGATGCTCATCTAGCCTGAGCAGAGGCTGATCCCCGGCTCTGGGGTGGTTTGTACAGCTGAACGTGCTGGGTTTCAGTGCTGGCTTCTTGTGTGCTGGGCAGTGATGGAAAAAGTCTGGTTTGGGTCTGGTTCTCTGAAGGGTGAAATTGGTTTCAGAAGCAGAGCCAGAGTGAGGCACGGGCATGGATCTCTGTTTTTTCAATAGTAACGTCTCCTATTTAATTTTTCTTGTAAATGTGGAGGAAAAGGGTGATGTGAAAGGCAAGGACCAGGAGCTCCAAGCTCTGGTCACAGCCCTACGTTGGTGAGACCTCGTAGAGGAGCTATGTCACCTCAACGTGCCCAGCCAATATTAACAGTGACTGAGGGTGTCAGGCAGAGCCCACGTCACTCTTAGCTTCTCCAAGGGCTGGAAGCACCCGGCCTTGCTGAGGAATGTTTTGGGTTGGTTTGTTTTCTTGGTTTTTAGCAGCCAATACTTTAAGAGGAGACACTAAAAAATCTGGGTTGTTTGATTCATGGGGAGGATGATGCTCCTGGCCTGTAGTTTTTCATCATCACATGGGAATACGTTGTAATAGGAAGATACAGCCCCATGGTATCTGGATGATACCTGTGCTGGATCAAACCCTCTCTTGACAGGCTGAGAGAGTTGGGGCTGTTCAGCCTGGAGAAGAGAAGGCTCCAGGGAGACCTTCTAGTGGCCTCCCAGTACCTGAAGGGTCTCCAGGAAGGCTGGGGGGGGACTTTTCATAAGGGCAATTAATGACAAAACAAGGGGAAATGGGTTTAAACTGAAAGAGGGGAGGTTTAGATGAGATATTAGGAAGAAATTCTTTACTGTGAGGGTGGTCAGACACTGGAACAGGTTGCCCAAGGAAGTTGTAGATGCCCCCTCCCTGGAAGTGTTGAAGGCCAGGCTGGATGAGGCTTTGAGCAACCTGGTCTAGTGGAAGGTGTCCCTGCTGCTGGCAGGGGGGTTGGGACTGGATGAGCTTTAAGGTCCCTTCCAACCCAAACCAGTCTATGATTCTATGATAATACCCAGGTTCTCCCTCTGAGACGTGCCCAGCTCGTCTCCTCCCTCCCCACAGTTTCGATTCCTTTATCAGCAGTGTCTATAGCCCATCATAAACCCCATGTGTGCAGTCAGGAGCACTCAAATAACAACTATAAAAGAGGTTGATCATTTACTGGGAACATAAACAGTCTCAGACACCCAAAGTACTCTTGGATGCCAGTATAGGAGTGATTTCCATCATGCTGCACCTGACCATGCAGCATCCTGGGGAAAGCAAAAACCAGGCTGAAAATCTTTTCTTCCACAGCAACGTGCAGGCTCTGGATGTGGAGAAGCCCCAGTGGGACACGAGGATGCAGCCATCGGGCAGGATTCTCTCACTGGACAGGCAAGGGGCTAAGAAAGTGCTGGAGATCTACGTCAAGCGCTCGCTGAGCTGCTGTGAGAACTCACTGGTGGCCAAGAAGAGGCTTCAGGAGGGAACCAGAGGGCGAGGGAGGAAGGCAGATGGGCTGAAACGGTCAAAAAGTGACTTCTCCAAGTATTCGTGTGCCATACTCAGCCCTAAGAAGGAGAAGGAGGAAGGACCCAAAGCACCGGACCTGGATGAGGCTCTGGATGATGAGAGCAAAGCTCCCAGGGAGGTCCCTAAAGAGGAGCCAGAGCCCAAGAGGAAAAGCACAAAAAACTCTTCCCAGAGCAAAAACCAACGCACCTGGTTCAAAAGTTTCTTAAATTTCCTCTTCAAGAAGAGCCCTGAGGAGCAGAAGGAAAATACAGGACAAAAAGCAAAGGAGAAAGATGCCAAAGCTCCTCCCAGCTCCAAAGTAGAAGGAGCTAAAAGACTCAGAGGGGACTTGAGCACATCCCCACCGCTGGGCAGAGCCCCGAAGAGGAGACCCAGCCTCAAGAAGGTTTTTTCCTTCAAGAAGCACGTGGAGGAAGGGCGTCAGGGGGGGCGAAGGCCAAGAGGCCCAGTTGCCTTCCCCTGGGGCGTGTCCAGGAGCCTGCCATGCCAGGTGGGACCCCCACCACCTCTAACCCAACCCTATGGCCAATGGAACCTCCATTGGGCATCTTTTGGGACAGCAATAGTGCTTAGTGCTGGTTCCTAACCCTGAGCATCAACCTCCTGGTGCTTCCTGGGGTCTGGGATAGGATCTGGGGACTCCAATCTCAACCTGGTGCCCCAAGAAAGGGTCAATCTGCCCGTGCTTTGAGCACACGTCATTGCTCAGACTCCTGAGTGCTGCAATTTACCCCAGGCACCACCCAGGGACAGGTTTATCCCCCTCTGGCAAACGAGGGATGTGGTGGTTTACTCCAAACCTGCATTGGAGACCTGAGATTAAATCTTAAACCACTCTAGAGCCAATGTTAATCTGCTGTTGTTTGCTGCAGGGAAGGGTAGGGGCAGTGTGGCACGGCATGCAGGACCCATGGGACACCCCCATCCTCACCCCAACCCTTTCCCTGCCGCATGCTTGCCTGCTGCATGCAGTTCCCATGGGACACCCCCATCCTCACCCCAACCCTTTCCCTGCTGCATGCAGGACCCATGGGACACCCCCATCCTCCCCCCAACCCTTTCCCTGCCGCATGCAGGACCCATGGGACACCCCCATCCTTATCCCAACCCTTTCCCTGCTGCATGCAGGACCCATGGGACACCCCCATCCTCACCCCAACCATTTCCCTGCCGCATGCAGGACCCATGGGACACCCCCATCCTCACCCCAACCCTTTCCCTGCTGAAAAGCCAGGGAGGGGATTTCTGTGAAGCTGGTTCAGGGCAAATCCCAGGCGGTCAGTTCCGATTCAGAGAGCACGACCCCGTCGCTCACCGGCCCTGTGCACTAACCCAGGGTGGGCACTAGCATCACATGGATGCAATCACGGCTGCTTTTCTTCTCAATCAACAGCCAAACAACAACAATGACAACAGATAATCCTCAAAAGCCAGGGAGGGGATTTCTGTGAAGCTGGTTCAGGGCAAATCCCAGGCGGTCAGTTCCGATTCAGAGAGCACGACCCCGTCGCTCACCGGCCCTGTGCACTAACCCAGGGTGGGCACTAGCATCACATGGATGCAATCACGGCTGCTTTTCTTCTCAATCAACAGCCAAACAACAACAATGACAACAGATAATCCTCACTTCTAAATAAACACATGGTTTTGTTCTTCCAGCAGATGTGGAGCAGCCCGACCGCTACTACGCGCGAGTCTCTGAAGAGATCGGGCTGATCGTTCAGGGCAGCGAGAGCCAGGGGAGCAGAGAACGTGGGTGTGGGGAGCTCCTGCGGCCGGGCAGCGCCGATGGGGTCGGTGAGTGTTGTCCTTGTGAGTCCTTCATCACCAACACCTATAGAAAACCCATAGGCATGAGACATGGCCCCATGCTAAGCTTGCACCGGACCCAAATCCCACCTTGGTCCTGCCTCAGGGTCTTACATTGTCCAAAGAGATATATGAAGCCTTGGGAGAGGTTGGGACACAGAAATCCAAGGCAGGAGGGTGTTTTTTCCAGGCTAAAGGATAACGAGGCACTTGGCAATTGACTGAAATGGGCTTTGCAGGGTTCATGGTGCTTGGGCAGTTTTTTACGGGGGGCTAAACAGGCAGCGCTGCTCCCTTAGAGAGTCTGGGTGTGGGGCTCGGAGAAAGGGCTGGAGATAACATGGGGTCTCTCTCTGCAGATGAAGCCATCAGGAGAATTGTCGCCCTGCTCCAGAGTGCAGGAGATGAGCTGGACAGGCAGGTGAGAGGAGAGCTGCCGTGGGGTCAAGGGAATTTGGGCCAAGCTCTGTGCTGCTGTAAAATATAATCAGAGAATCCCAGACTGGTTTGGGTTGGAAGGGACCTTCAAGCTCATCCAGTCCCACCCCCCCTGCCAGCAGCAGGGACACCTTCCACTAGACCAGGTTGCTCAAAGCCTCATCCAGCCTGGCCTTCAACACTTCCAGGGAGGAGCAGCCACAGCTTCTCTGGCCAACCTGGGACACTGTCTCACCACCCTCACACCAAAGAATTTCTTCCTCATATCTAATCTAAATCTCCCCTCTGCCACTTTCAAGCCATCACCCCTTGTTCTGTCACTCCCTGCCTTTGTAAAAAGTCCCTCCCCAGCTTTCTTGTTGGCCCCCAATACCATTGATTTCCATGGGGCAGGGCAACCTCAGTAAAATGAAGGAAATGGCATCTTTTTAATTCCCCAGCTGGGTGTGATCGTGTCTGTCTGTCTGTCTTCCCTCAATGGCAATCCTAGCGTGGAGTGAAGGCTTCAACACAAGGATGACACACCACCATTGCTCATAATGTCTGTATTCAATTGCTTCTTAAACAGGTGAAGGAAGATGCACAGCTACGGATGTTCTTCAGAGACATGTCCTACAGCTCCTTCAAGAACCTGGCTGATGCCTATGTCCGCAGGGAAATGACAGCCAGCAGACCCGATGTCAACCCTGAAGAAGTCCAGTTTGCCTTCGCAGTGCATCTTACTGCCAAAGTGGCGGGCATCTGCAACCAGGCAGTGAACAGGATCATGGGCTTTGGAACCCGTTACCTGGAAGACTCATTTGCACCCTTGTCCTACAGCAAAATTCTCCAGGTATGGAGGAGGAGTCCAGGGCTGAGCTTCCAGCAGCAAGTTAGGGCAAGTGGTATAATTTTAGGGTGATGGATAGAGCTGGGTGGGTAGCAGACATGCTGGTTTATACTGGGGGAGTGATTGGGTGCTGGATCTTGCCCCATGTTCTTTGGGGTACCTTTTTCTTCCTCCAACATGAGCATGGCCCATGCACACACAAGGAGCAGGACTTACTTTGCTCCCTGCTCACTGCGTCTCCAGAGCCAGGAGATGCCCCATAGCTCATGGCATTGCTGCAACCTGCTGTAACCACAGCTTTCCTGGGGAAAAAATTTCCTCCTAAACTCATCTAGGGATCTTCTAGAGAGAGTCCAAGGGAGGCCACAAGGATGATGAGGGGCCTGGAGCATCTCCCATGTGAGGAGAAGCCGAGAGAGCTGGGACTGTTCAGCCTGGAGAAGAGCAGCCTGAGAGGGGATCTGATCAATGTCTATAAAGATCTGAAATGTGGGGGCCAAATGGATGGGGCCGGGCTCTTCTCGGTGGTGCCCAGTGACAGGACAAGGGG